AGATAATTTTTTTTGCAGGAAGGAGCACAATTGAGCAGACACAACTTTTTCTAAAATTTTAGACGTAAACGGACGATTTGAAATGGGTCTGTAATTTGCCAGTTCACTAGGATCTAGTTGTGGTTTCTTAATAAGAGGCTTAATAACCGCCAGCTTGAAGGGTTTTGGGAGATGAGTTAATAATATTGAGAAGCGAAAAAACAAAACAAAAAAATATATAAACCATCAAAATAAAGCACTAAAAGTTATGAACATCATTAACAATTACAAATTGTAATAAAAATAATTAATCAAATTAACCGCCAGCTTGAATGGTTTTGGGAGATAACGAGTTAATAATATTGAGAAGCGAAAAAACAAAACAAAAAAAATATATAAACAATCAAAATAAAGCACTAAAAGTTATGAACATCATTAACAATTACAAATTGTAATAAAAATAATTAATCAAATTAATTTATTAAATGATTTATTATTAATTAAAATAAATAAAAACTATCAAATTAAAACACTTTTTAGTATTGTTTTTTTATTTAATTTTATTTGTATTTTGTTTTTATTTCTCAATTATTTATTACAATTTTAAATATTTACGATTTTATTCATTTTTAGTAAGTGTTTTATTTTGGTTTGTTTTTATTTTAAAATGATTTATGTTAATTTTACATGTTTTATAATTTATTTAATTTGTAGTTAGTGATAAAAGACAAAATAAAATCAAAACTAAACTAATAAAATAAAATAAAATACTTTTTAGTTAAATTAAATAAAAATAAATAATTAAAATAAATAGCATCGTAAAGATCCAAAATTAAAATAAATATTTTAAAATCAAATAAAAAAATAAGTGCACTAAAAATGTTTTACTTGTTTTTATTATTTTAATTAATAACAAATAATTTAATAAATTAATAATAAACAATGTAATCATTTAAAATAAAAACAAAGAAAAAAACACTCACTAAAAACAGTTATAATCATAAGAATGTAAAATTAAAATAATAAAAACAAATTTTTTTTTACAAATTAATAATGTTTTTATAATTTAATCATAAGAACTGTGAACATGCGAATGTTCAGTTCAGTTTATTTCTAAATCACATTTAAAACAGCAACAAGGCATGTGTCAATAAATTACTGAAATATTAACTTGTGAATGAACTTCTGTGCTACTTTTTATTACATTATTTATATTTTTCAATCTTTATTATCAGCAAACTAATATGAGAGTTTTTACTGCTCTATTTCTCCAGAGAATATCATGACCCTTCAGGAGGTTCAGACTGAGGCTCTTATTTTAGTGATGTGTTGTGTGTGTGTGTGTGTGTGTGAGTGTGAGTGCGTGCGTGCGAGTGCGTGTGTGTGAGTGTGTGTATGTGAGAGAGTGTGTGTGAGTGTGTGTGTGTGAGAGAGAGTGTGTGTG